CACCTGGAGCTGTAAAGTCTATCCAGTTAATGTGCGGTGCGTTGAAGTCCCCAATGATGAGACAACATTCTGCCATACTCCAAGAACAGATGTGTCTTAGGATATAGTCGTCAGCAAGACAAAACGGACTACGGTATATTCCCCCTATAGTCACTAACCCATTTCTAGATTTAATCTTACAACATGCTACCTCACATGTACCACTAACATGAGCCTCCGATATGATTGATTGTATACGAAAGTGGTCCCTAATGTATGACATTATGCCTCCCCCCTTGCGACTTAAAACTCTATCACTTCTAATACAGATATGGCCTGCATTGATGGAAGAACATTCTATATCTACGGTGAACCAAGTTTCTGTAACAACAATTATATCGGGACTTAATTCATTCACCATCAAACTTAGCTCGGACATTTTATTTCGAAGACTACGGGTGTTTGTGTAGCACACACTTAAGGTGTTTTGGTACTCATTCGTTCTACATAAACGGGCCTCGGAAGCATTGGCTTCCAAGACCTGAATACCCGAAAACCCTTAATGGTAAGGTTAGTTTCGCCATTTAATTTACGAGTTCTTAACTCCGTAAGAGCATTCTTTTACTTGATTCGATCCTCAAGCGGCCAATGTGGTCGGATACGAATATATGAATCACGATTTTTTTGTGCGTTTTTCAATACTATATCTCTTTCTTCAAAATTCCCAAAAACCGGCTTCATATTTCCTACTCTTGCATCATTTCCCGCTGTTATTGCTAGGTCTCCCAAATATTTCTGCTTATCAGCTCTAGTTTTCCTCTTTACTCTCTTGTTAGCTTCTGGACAACCATGCTTCTTGAGACGTTGAAGTTATTGCTTCTGTAACTTATTTCCAGTTGTTCCATGTGATAGTTTCCTCTTCGTTGAGTAGGTCTTGTACGGTATGGAAGTTTTTGCTGTTTTATTTCGAATTTGTCGAGTTTGTTAGTATCTCGAAGGGAGACTGTAAGAAACCGTCTTAATTCTATTTCTCTAGTTATTTAGTGCTTCAGTGTGATTTTTATCCTGGCCACCCTTAGTTGGTGATTTAAAGCTTTCTCAGCTCCTCTCTTTGTTCTTACGCCTCTCACTGATCTTCTGATCTTTTTGGTGGTGCAGACATGGTCGATACGGTTCTCTGCAGTGTCATCCGGTGAGACCCATGTGGCTTTGTGTATGTGTTTGTGGGAGAATGTGGTATCAACTATTAGCATTTTGTTGAACGTACATAAATTTGCAAATCTGTCACCGTTCTCATTCCTTTCTCCAAGTCTATGTAGTCCCTTGATATCTTCATACCCTGTGATGTCCATTCCGACTTTGGCGTTTGGGCCTCCCATCAAGATCGTTAGGTCTTTTCCTGCGCACTTCTCTACGATCAACTATAGCTTCCTATAATACTGTTCTTTATTGTCTTGATTGCTATCATTGGTGGGTGCATAGAACTGAATGACATCAAGTGTGATCCCCTGCTTATTTTCGAAGATGCTTTGGTGAACTTGAATCCATGAAATTCCCATCCTACATGTACTTTTTGCGCTTCTATGAACAGCATCAGAGAAACCTGTGTGTGAAAAGCATTTTCTTCGTGAGCAGAATACAATAGCATATCTCCCGAATCTAATCTTTTCTCTCCAATTTTGGACCCAATGAGTTTCACTGATTCCGAAGACCACAAAGTTTTATCTCCTCATTTCCACAGCTATTTGATTGATCCTCCCAATCTCCCACATTGTCCGGACATCCCATTTACCTATGTAAATTTTTGCCGTGGTCGCCCCAGAGATGATGCAATACAGTGGCTCAGACGTTATCAGACATGACTCAAAATAGAAACTAGTGAATATCCTGCTGTAACTTTCTTTTACTTTCCTCATAAAAGTGAACGTAGCTTTTTAATTGAAAGAATTCTTTCTGGTTGTATTTCTTCTAACTGAACTGCTCCTTCCATTATTATTATTATTATTATTATTATTATTATTATTATTATTATTATTATTATTATTTCACTCTCACTTACCGATTCCCATTAACTTGTGATCTTATTGTTATATCCACCCTCCTCTGTCTCTTCACAACCTCACTGTCATTGTGTGGCCCGCTTGTATTTAGCACCCCCCTTGTACCAATGTTTGTGTTCAAATAGATAACTAAATTAATAGAAGACTACCACTCATTCCGGACTACATATTTAGACTCAGATCATGCTTTAGTAAAAGCATGTACTTTTCTGCGTTTTACTGGACGTTATTATTTTATTTTTATTCGTTTATTTAAACACATAGACATTGATACAAGGGAGCGCCAAATACATATACGCCACACAATAACAACGAGGCTAGCAGCAGTTACCATTGATTTGTGTGCGAGGTGTGATAATGTCTGGGTGCCCAAACCGAAGCAGGTGGTTTCCTTAGAGGGCCACACCCGGAGCCTTTTACCTAAAGGTTTGATCTACGAGGCAGTGGAGTAACGTTAGGAGATGCAGTCCCATGGTAGCCAGAGATCAAAAATACATTCATATGCCATTTGTTCCATCAGGGTCCTGGAGCCCATTTGCCCCATTGGTTTGAAATCAGGATTTTCCAACTCCAACTAGAAGGACCCTCGACAACCACCAACCCTATTAAAGCGCCGGACAATCGCTTTCCGTCCTATCAATTTCGTAAGTAACACCGCCACGAGAAGGCATTGAATAGGATTTCTCCGGTAGTGGCTGTATACGCGTGGCCATGTGAGAGCGTTTCGAGAGGGCGAGTGGGCTCTCCACACCCTCGACCGTACCAGGGCACTTGGGGGCATTACTGAACATAAAACAGTGACAGCAGGAAAACTACCAAGAGTTCTACTTAGTCCTGGAAAATTCAAGAATATATTTTAGGGACAACCAGAGAAGCTGCTAGTCAAACGTGAAAGTGATATCCACCCCGAGATAGCTTGATATGATAAACGAAATGCTGTGGAAACGGCAGTGATGTCTACCAAAAACTTAAACAAAAAAGTTAGGGACGACCAGCAGATTTCAGCGACGTCTACAGAACTGATAGATGCTCGGGATCTCATTCTACCTAGCTCCAAACATAATGAAGGGCTGAGACAGCCCAGACGTAGGCTGATTAAAAGCCTACACAGTGATCGTGAACAATGGTAGGTAGTAAAAGCAAAAGAGATGGAAAATCTGCGGCGATAGGTAGCAACAGACAACTATTCAGTTATCGGGGAGATCGGTATTAAAAATCTGGCTATTAGTGAAACTACTTCGGGAAAAGACAGAACTATTACTCACTCTCGATCCAGAAGATTGGACCAATCGGGAGAACACCTTAGGGGACAGTTCAACTAGCTTTCAGACGCACTATCTCCAAGTAACCTGAATGGAAAACTGATGTAAGTCATCCAACTCAGTGAGGTTCAAAAGACCAAGTAATCTAAAGAGAAGGAGATCAGTTGGGTCTGATGTACTAAACACTGAGACTTTTACGGATGGTAGTCCAGTTTTAGCAGTTGGATTAACTGAGATCTTAGTTAGAATCCGTGGACTGTGCGTAATCTCATCAGATTGGTTTAGATGTCTGATCATTCCAGTTTACAAGGAAGAACACAAACCGTCTAGTTCCAATCACAGAGTACTCGAAGCATTGGCCTTATATTTTGGGGCTAGAGAGTAAACATATCCCAGGTTAGGTTTAGAGTACTCACTAGGAATGAAAAATTGGTTGATTAGGTTGTGAATCTTCATCAGCTGAGGTGACTGGGATCTGTGTTACGTGTGCTCAACTACCGCTTACCGCGAGGGCGATGTTTTCTGGTGTTTCAGTAGGCTCGTAGAAAACCAGGGACGACCAAACCATGGCATCATTCTGTGAAGTCATTAACAATTAGACTGACGCATGTTAAAATTATCACGACACCATGTAATACACTGACTACCTCTCTACTTTTCCAATTAATCAGCGGCGGGAAATAATTAACAATGTGGAATTTTCTGGAACTACATTCGTACATGTACAAGCCACTGAAGTCGATATTTCAATATGGTGACACTAATTGAATTATCGTCACTGTTGCTGAACACATGTTCCCGAACCCCCACATTACTAGCATGGTGTTTCCATTAAATGATAGCAATCCTTCAGAGAAAGCATGACCGATCGCAGAGAGTCGCTTGACATGCCCAACTTGAAGAGATCAGGTTTTATAAACATAGAAAACTGCTCTCACCGACGCATTGTAGTCTCGACGTTTTACAGACAATAGCATCATTGAGGCAACAAAGATGGCGAAGGTTAGAATAAGATGCTCCGGCTTTGATTATACGTGAATTGATCTCATCACTTACACCAAGACTTACACAGCTATCTAGATACACGAACTTCTTGAGTAATTCTAAGTGCTCACTACCTAGTGTGAATACATGTGTGAGATGCTTCCTTGTATCAATGTTTATGTGTTTAAATAAATAAATAAGTCCCGAAGCGACATTTAGATGTAGTGGGACTTATCCTGAATATGTTAGCACTGTCCTTCAAGACGGTCAAAAGACTCCATATTATGTCAGCGTCTTTACCGAATTGGACAATCATCTGTATATTCCAACTCGACATGTGAGTCTCCCGATAGATCTATTCCTGCAAAGTCAGACGATAAGAGCGTTGTCTTTAAAAAAATGTTTATGACCAAGTTAAATATAAATGGGGGAAGCGGACAACCCTGACAAACATCACTTGTGTTCAAATAGAAAGCGTGTGCTCGGTTAATGTAATTTGGTATGACTTTGTCATAAAAAGTTGTTGATCAACAGAGTTAAATGCTACCCTAAAATTTTCATGTTCTTGAATGTAAGGCATGCTCAAAATTTGGCTTACGTCGTCACGAAATTTTCAAAAATAAACTTCTCTACTCATTGGGTTATCACAGAAATATATTTATTTGAGACTATCAATTTCAATCTTAGCATTAATTAAATGGAAATTTACTTTTAGAGCATCACGATAGTCAAGTATTTTCTTGTTCAAATGGCCGGTACCGTAAGTATAATGAGTGGAAAAGACTTCCTTTTTAGAATCCTGTTGACCACAGAAGAAAATGGGACAAAGCTCATTTTGAGAAATTGGCGAGTGATAAACTTAGTAATGAGTTAGAGGCTATGCGGAATGCTCGAAAAGAAAAGGAAACTATGAAAAAGGAGTATTTAAAGGCTCGTGATTATACAGTAAGTCTTCCTAAAACTATAAAAATTATATCACACAGATTGACTTGGAATCTAACCTGAACAAATCTCAAGTAATTGCAAAGACCGGACCAGGATCTTCACAAGCAGGCTACTACTGTGAAGTTTGTGACTGTGTTGTGAAGGATTCAATTAACTATTTGGACCATATAAACGGTAAAAAACATCAAAGAAATATGGGAATGTCAATGAGAATTAAAAGGTCAACTTTAGAAGAAGTTAAAGAAAGGTATTACTGTGGTATTATAACTCTGCTATAGGTTTCAGCTTCACAAGCAAAAATCCGAAGAAAAGGCGGAAGAGTACAGTTTAGATGAAAGGATGAAACAAATCGCCGAGGAAGAAGAAAAATTTAGGGCTTATAAACAAGAAAAACGCAAAGAGAAAAAGCGTAGGAATAATGAGCAGTTTGAAGACTCTGACGTCGCGGCAGCTATGGGATTTGGTGGTTTTGGTAAGAGATCAAAGTGACCGTTGTAAATAATCAGCTCCTGTAATTGTGTATTATATTTAAGTGAACGATAAATTTTATACTTCCAAATGGTTGTTTTGTTTAACTTTTCCCTCAGGATTTATAACAACGTTATGGATATAGTCATCTTAAAGCTTGCGACACACTTTACTGCAGTCGAATCGCTTTCAAAGACGGATGTTGTCTTATAAACCTCACGAAGTGTTATTTTAAACGGAATCATTTTTAGTTTTAGTTAAATGTATAATGGATGGATGGTTGCCCACGATCATAGATCGATTGAAATTAGACACTAACGCCATTGGCTTCCGGCTCAGTGTTCTAAGGGTTAATTGTTCACGCGCGAAACCGAAGGTTCTGGATTCTAGTCCCTCATGCAATGTAGTAGATGTGCACTGCCAGGACAAAAGACCATCCAGTACTTCCAGGTTTTCAGTGGTGGCCTAGCTTAGATTGACTCATGAATTCAACTACTACCACAATCTTCATACCCCTCATTCTGATAAATGGATAAAAGTTCATCTCCTTCCCTTGTTTTATATTATGGTCTCATTAAATCAAGTGGAGTTTTCACAAATTTTCAGACGTTATTTTTTGGAAGATATAACAGATAAAAAGGGTCATTTTTAGAAAATAAATATATTTTAACTACTTTTTAGTAATAAAATAAATTATATACTATTAAAATCCCTTCCAGTAATGTATAATCACAGCTTCACTCTTGCTTCAACGTATTCCAGTCAACCATATAATCGATCTACTTATATTGTGTCTGATTCCTCCAGTTTTTTGTTCTTTGTTTTCTTTGAGCATTGAGTTTAGCATCACGGAACAAAAATAATGCACAGATCAAAGCGCTTATCTGGATTTTGGAATTCAATGAGAAATTTTTATTATATATATATATTGGTTGCGACAATCGTATCTAAGATGGTAGATCGTAATCGATGCCAAAAACGACTACTTTATTATTGAATTCATACAAAATAATATAGATTGACAAAGGGATGACACACTGAAGTAATATCTACGCCACAATACCAGTTTCAATAGACTAGTTTATTTGCTCAGAAACCTGTTTACCCTGAAATCACTGGTATATATCAATCTAAATCAAAGAGCATAACCAAGCAATTTTTGATGGAGTTGCGCTCTCCGAACTGAGTGGTTCTTTGTGAAGCTGTCACTATCTTTAGATAGAAATAAGTAACTGGGACTCCACATATAGCTTACAATTTATCTTACCAACATTAATGTCTCCCAAAATCATCCTGAGTTACAAATTTTCATCTAACAGCCAAGCACTTTTGCTTGTCCGTAAACTAAAGTACTAAGGAACTAACAACAAATAACTCTAAAATTGGTTTACCGCTCTTCATTGTTGTGCCTTTTTAAACTTTTTATTTCATCTGATTACCATTCAGTTATAATCAACTAAGTTCGTAAAGTGATAGAACGTTTAGAATGAAAAACAGCCCATTGTAACTTTTTTCCAAACTTTAGTAGTGGTTATACCGACGTTTGGTCTTAGATTTTTCTGTACATCAAATCTTATCAGTTGTTTTATCGATTAAGAAAGATGATGTTATTCTACAGATTGGTTATAATGTGACTTTAGTCGAAATCAGTTCAACACATTTATATAATATGATGTATGCATGTTTATGTAAATACTAGGTTTTCAAATTATAACAACCTTCCATCCTAGTCATAATTTTTTGTTGAGTAGATTTCAGTCATCGATGTCCGTGACTATAATAGTTGCAAACCGTTCATAAGAAATCTAGCGATTACTACAGTTAGCTTATTTTTATTTAATCAGCATTTAAGAACTTAGAATCTGGGTAGTACTGATAACATCAACTCATAAACTGTGCTCTGAGCTAAGTACGGAAATGTGTACTTGTTGGGTTGCAACTAGTGTAATTTTCTGTGGCACTTTTCAAATATTACGAGATAGGAGTTTGTTAGTTAAGAAAATGTAAAAATTAATTCCGTTACAACAGTGATTTTTCGATTAGAATCAAGCTTATATTTAGAATTACTTAATAAAAGTACAAGGATTGGGGTAGACTTTGATTGCTTTTGACATGCCCGATGAAATCTATCAAGGTTTATGTTTGGTGATTTCAGAGAAATGAGACAGTACATTTAGAAAATATTAGTAAGTTATGGTATTGTGAACACAAAGACTATCCGACCAATGAGCTAACAGGCGTAATCCACCCTTTGTTGAATGCAAGACTTCGACGATAACCGAAAAGTGTATAATTTCCATAAAATATAAACTTTTAGCAGATACATGTCCCAGAGTATACCTAGGATAATGAGTTTTTAATTAAACTTGTAGAAATAACAACATATGTAGTTTTCGAGTTTGTTCGTCCCTCGAGTTAGCTAGTTTATGGTCATTTACGGTAGCTTGTGATCTTAAAAATTCCCTTACTGTCAGATGCGACGTTTGGAACTTCATTTGGATTGGCGATTACTCATCCGATAGTTCTCCGAAAATCTTGATATTAGTCAAGCTATATGAGTAAAGTGCCTTTTTGAGATTGGTATTTTGAGTTGGCTGTCTAGATACTTAATTGATCTAAGGATAATTCAGTCGAAAAACGTTATATGAAGGCCCATTTTTGAAAAAAATTATTTAGCAGTGTTGACTAGTATTTGGTCCTCACCAATTTCTTGACTTATACATTGTCCACTACCGTTTGGATTGTTCTGTTCGTAAGTTTTCAGCCAGATATAATCGCCAAACTTATGTCTACACAATTTTATTTTTTCCGTATGATGCAAATACGTGCGTATTTTATCAAAGAATTTTACTGGGTGATGGTATTTAAGTTTTACTATCGAATTAGCACCTGATTTATAACTACAACTTCATTAGCTGCTGATCACATCTCAGAATTTAGTGGACTTCTACCACAACCAATACTTCGGTTGTACACATATTGATTTAAGAGAAAACCAAACTTACCAAGACCATGCACGCGATCAGTGCCAAGACGCCAACAGCCTTAGCATAATTATTGATGTAACTTTTCAAACTTTCAAAGCATCCCTTAACAAAATTAACATATTAGCTGTCAAAAAAAACTACTGCATAGTAAATAGCGTCGTTGTGGGGTCCACTGCCTTTATTCGGTGGTCCGTACTGCCACGTCTGGCAGCGTCTCTTATCCCGGTATATTTCAGTTGGCCAACCAGTCAATCCATCAAGTTTCTTGACACAACAAGACTCTGGAACAAACAAGTAAAACAAACTTGATTCTTTATCATATATCAACCATGAAGTAGTACTTGCATACCTGACAGTTTAGTGTTTGTTTCGTATAAATCCGAGTTTACAATCATGTCCCACCACGATCCATTATACACACCCCATCCACTGTTATCCACTCCACAACAACGTAGGTGTCTCTGTACCAAGTCCCATGCGTCAGTTATTATCCCATATCGTCCATAGTGATTCCTTAACGAAGCTACCATCACACTTCTAGCCGATTCACCAAGCTAAATAGTAAAATATATGACTGCAAAGTTGTACACTTTACTTACTGAACTTTTAAAGGACAAAACTATTATTCCTGATATCAACAAGAGTAATGTGAGCAAGCATAAAATGAATATGTACTACAAATGTTCGAAATTTGATTATACGCAAATCCTACTGACACAATCAGGCAGATATTTTCTTTATCAGCTGCGATGTAACCACATAGGGCTACGATTGTTATAACAAGTCCTAAGAAGATGACTATGTACACTCCAGACGAATAGAGTGAGGTTCCAACAACTTCAGACATATTTCCATGGTCAACGACACATACTATCCCAAGAGATATTAAAGCAACCCCAAACAGCTAAAAATCAGCTAAGGTTTAAGATACGAGTGTTACTATGGAAAATCCGTTCAGGACAAACAGAATAAGCGACGATGCTCTACCGGAAAGACAACGGTACATCTCAAATAGAACTTTGCATTGTTTACCGTACGTCAACCTTAATAATCAGAGTGAAGAAACAAACTTCAGGGGGATCTAAAAATCAAACGTCTTGTTTCAAGGCTGTAAAATGCCTGTCCAAGCAGCAAGTAGAAACAGCCTGAGAAAATTACTAATGATCTTGTTTAAACTTCATCCAACATCACTGTGACACTGAAGATTTAAATGTTTATCTAGTCTGAAGATGTGTTGTGTCTGATGGACTGGTAACAGACTGTGTGTAGGAGAATCTGGAAATAAGACGGATAAGTAGATGTGAATGACTGTGTCTACTGAAACCTCGCTCCTAACCACACATTGGAGCCTTCAACGTGCTCACACTACGTCAAATCAGTGAGCAGGTTTCCTTGGCTAAAACCATAGAATCTCATACCATTGATGTGTGCTGTGTCTCCGAAACACGCATGCAAGATCCTGATGTGGTCATTCACTTGACCTCACCTCGGCAAAACGGAGAGCTGACGAGATACACCCTCCGTGTATCTGGCGACCCGAGGGTGAGTTCTCGTGGACTGGCAGGTGTAGGCATAGCACTAAGCATGAGGGCGGAACAAGCGCTATTGGAGTGGATCCCCGTTAACAGTCGTCTGTGCGCCGTTCGGCTAAACAGCTCAGTAAGAACTCGGAAGGATATGGACACACGTCGTTGCCTTTTCGTCGTTTCTGCCTACGCTCCCACTGACTGCAGTGCGGATGAAGTGAAAGATGAATTTTACAGAAAACTCTCTGAACTTCTTCAGAAAGCTACACGTTTAGACATATTACACATAGCAGGTGACTTTAATGTCCAGGTAGGAGGCTTAAACAAAACAGAAAGACATTTAGGTGGGTATTTTAGTATACCGGCACAGCGAACAGATAATAGTGATCGTCTGCTGCAACTGTGCCCAGACAACCGTTTATTTTTAGCAAACAAATTTTAAGCACAAGGAGAGACACCGTCTAACATGGCGACCCCCTGCACCAAATCAACGAAGGACTCAAATAGACTGTATTGCCATCAGTCATCGTTGGAGAGGGTCGATAGAATGATGATCATGAGCAGCGGTGGGCAACGA